AAGAATGAATTCCATGTTTATAAAAAAAGCCTATTAAACGAGCAAAAGCGGATTTTTCTTGATGTTCTAATAAACTTTGAAATAATTTAGCGGGATCTTCATCATGTTGTTCAGCAAAAGATTTAATTTGATTAACTAATTCATTACAATTATTTAAATGCCTCTTCGAATTAACTAATATTTTAAGTTGTATAAAATTATCTAAATGCCTTATTGAAAGTTGTACTAATTGATGAAAAGATTTCTTATTAGGATCAGTTATACTAGAGTTCATGTAATCCAATATTTTAGAATTGATTATGGTTAATTCCTTTTTAGAATTTATCGATGATAATTCCGAGGAATTTGTAACATTTGAATTATTTGTAGATTCACAAAAATCTTGATATATTTCCGACTTGTTATATAAAGAGAATGAAATATCCAGGTCATTACATATTTTCTCAATTTGATCAACTCGTTTTTTGAAAAGTCTTATCCAAGTCAATGTTGTTCAAGTCAATATTGTCGGAATCCATGTTGTTGTTATTTGTGATTATTAAGTTGTTGTTGTTTTCGACTTGTTCATCATTGTTGCCTGTATATGAAGTAGGTTATTTTTATGAAAATGGAATTGGTGTTACTAAAGATGATAAAAAAGCTTTTCAATATTATTTTAAATCCGCTGAAGGTGGAAGTACTGATGCTCAAAATAATGTTGGAAATTGTTATCTACATGGAATTGGTATCGATAAAGATGGAAAAAAAGCTTTTCAATATTATTTGAAATCTTCCGAAGAAGGAAATACTATTGCTCAAAATAATCTTGGTTATCTTTTTGAAAATGGAATTGGCACTGATAAAGATGATCAAAAAGCATTCCAATATTATTTAAAATCCGTTGAAGGTGGTGATACTAATGCTTATTACAGTCTCGGAAATTGTTTTAAAAATGGAATTGGTACTACGAAGGATGAAGAAAAAGCATTAGAATATTTTATGAAATCCGCTGAAAATGATGATCCTAATGCCTTATATAGCCTTGGACATTGTTTTCAAAATGGGACTGGTACCCAAATAGATGAGAGAAAAGCTTTTCAATATTATTTAAAATCTGCTGAAAGTGGTAATATTAATGCGTTATATAGCCTTGGATATTGTTATCATAATGGAATTGGAGTCGAAGAAGATGAACAAAAAGCATTCCAATATTATATAAAAGCAGCTGAAGGTGGAAATGCTGATGCGCAAAACGAACTTGGTTATTTTTTTGAAAATGGAATCTGTACAGATAAAGACGAACAAAAGGCATTTCATTATTATATGAAATCTGCAAAAGGAGGAAATGCTGTTGCTCAAAATGAACTTGGTTATTTTTATGAAAATGGAATTTATACTGACAAAGATGAGAACAAAGCATTCCAATATTATTTGAAATCCGCTGAAAGTGGTAATATTGATGCATTGAATAATCTTGGTAATTGTTACCAATACGGAATTGGTACTTCCAAAAATGAGGGAAAAGCCTTTCAAAACTATTTAAAATCCGCTGAAGGTGGAAATATTGACGCACAAAATAATCTTGGACTTTGTTTTCAAAATGGAATTGGAACCACCAAAGATGAGAAAAAAGCCTTCGAAAATTTCATGAAATCTGTTGAAAGTGGTGATACCGATGCACATTATTATCTGGGTAATTGTTTTCAAAATGGAATCGGTACTGAAAAAGATGAACAGAAAGCATTTCAACACTACATTAAATCTGCTGAAAGTGATGATATTTTTGGACAATATAGTCTTGGATATTGTTACCAAAATGGTATTGGAACTGCTAAAAATGACAAATTGGCATTTCAATATTACATGAAAGCTGCTAAAGAAGGAAATGCTGCTGCACAATATGAACTTGGTTACTATTTTGAAAATGGAATTTGTACCACTAAAAATGTTCGGGAAGCATTTCGATATTATGCTAAATCTGCTAAAGGTGGATATGCCGCAGCACAAAATAGTCTTGGATATTTTTATGAAAATGGAATTGGTACAGCCAGAGACGAACGGAAAGCATTCTTATATTACACTAAAGCTGCTAATAATGGAAATACCTCGGCGCAATATAATCTTGGATATTGTTTTGAAAATGGAATCGGCACTGCCATAGATAAACAGAAAGCATTCCAGTATTATGTAAAATCTGCTGAAGGCAGTAACACCAAAGCACAAAATGATCTTGGTTGCTGTTTTCAAAATGGGATTGGCACTGCCAAAGACGAATGGAAGGCATTTTGTTATTTCTTGAAATCCGCTAGAGGTGGTAACACTACCGCATATTTTAATCTTGGAAATTGTTTTCAAAATGGAATTGGTACTATAAAAGATAAACAAAAAGCAATTCATTGGTTCACAAAAGCTGCTGAAATAGGAGATGCCAAAGCACAAAATGAACTTGGATACTATTATTTTAATAATGGGCTTGGTACCACCGAAGATGAAGAAAAAGCATTCAATTATTTTTTGAAATCTGCCAATGGTGGTAATATTGTAGCACAAAACAATCTCGGTTATTGTTATCAAAACGGCATCGGCACTGAAAAAGATGATGAAAAGGCATTTCAATGCTATGTAAAAGCTGCTAAAAAGGGTCATGCTGTAGCATTACACAACCTTGGAAATTGTTATAAAAATGGTGTCGGCACCGCAAAGGATCTGCGAAAAGCATTTGAATGTTATATGAAATCTGCTAATAAAGGAAATATCTTGTCACATAATGAAGTTGGATATTGCTACCAATACGGAATTGGTAGTGTAAAAGATGAGAAAGAAGCGTTTCGTCATTACATGAAAGCTGCTAAGGAAGGAAATACTGAAGCACAAAACAATATTGCTTATTGTTTTGAAAATGGTATTGGTACTCCAAGAGATGTGCAGAAAGCATTTCAGTCCTACATGATATCTGCTAAAAGTGGTAATGTGTCTGCACAATTTAATCTCGGACTTTGTTTCGAAAAATGGAATTGGTACCATAAAAGATGAACATAAAGCATTTCGATATTACATGAGATCTGCTGAATGTGGTAATATCGATGCGCAATATATCATTGGTCATTATTATGAAAATGGAATTGGAACTACCAAAAATGAAGTAAGTGCATTTCAATACTATATGAAAGCTGCCGAAGAAGGAAATATTGCAGCACAACTTTGTATCGGAAATTGTTATCAAAATGGAATTGGAACGACTAAAGATGAACAAAAAGCATTTCAATACTTCATGGAATCTGTTAAAAATGGAAATAATGATGCCTTATATTATCTCGGTTATTGTTTTCAAAATGGAATTGGCACCACAAAAGATGACCAGAAAGCGCTAGAATATTACATGAAATCTGCCGAATGTGGTGATACAGATGCACTATGCAATATTGGAGACTATTACATGAATGGTGTTGGCATTGCCAAGGACGAGCAAAAAGCAGTTTATTTTTATACAAAGTCTGCTGAAGGTGATAATGATAAAGGACAAAATAATCTTGGACATTGTTTCCTGCATGGATTTGGCACCACAAAAGATAATTGGATAGCAATCAGGTGGTTCATGAAATCTGCTGAAAAGGGAAATGTTGCAGCTTTAAATAACCTTGGATATTGTTACCTCAATGGAATTGGCACTTCTAGAGATGAATGGAAGGCATTTAAATATTTTATGAAATCTGCAGAAAAAGGTAACGTTGTAGCACAAAATAACATCGGACATTGTTATGAATACGGAATTGGCTCTACCAAAGATAAGCAAAATGCATTCAAGTATTACATGAAAGCTGCTGAAGGTGGTAATATTGAAGCACAACTTAACCTTGGCTATTGTTATAAAAACGGATTTGGCGTCACCAAAGATCTAAAAAAGGCATTTGAATATTACATGAAATCAGCAGAAGGTGGAAATGCTACTGCACAGAATGAGGTTGGATATTGTTATGAAAATGGAATTGGCGTTGCCAAAGATGAAGAGAAAGCATTTCAATATTACTTGAAATCTGCAGAAAATGGATGTAACGATGCTCAATATAATGTTGGAAGTTGTTATAAAAATGGTATTGGTATTATTAAAGATGATACAAAGGCGTTTCGATATTCTATAAAGTTTGCCAAAGAAGATATTGCTGAAGCATTTTATGATCTTGATATCACCGAACCACTAAAACCTCTTGATATCACCGAACCACTAAAACCT